GTGGCAGAGGGGTTGGAACTAGATGATCCTTAAGGTCCCTTCCAACCCAAACCATTCTATGATTCTCCTTAGGCAGAGCAAGCAACTTCCTCGAGCACTTCAGGCACCGTGCAGCAGCAGGGATGGCAGAACTGGACCCACCAGGAGTTCTGGGATTGTCTCTTCCAAGTGTTTGTGGAGTAACTAGCAAAAGTAGAAAGTCAGTGCACTTGAAACTTTTTCAAATTTCTGAAGCTTTCGTGGAGATGAACTGCTCTGTACACCCATGGCTGTTATTAAGTACAAGTACTGGGAGTTAGCAAACCTTTGTGAAAAGATTATGCAAGAACAAGCATTAAATTCAGCATGATGTCTACTTTAATTGAGCAATATTCCATAGCCACTGTATAAGCAGAAACAGACAACTCTTGCTTACACATTTGCTTTTTTTAGGTCTGTTTTGGGAGATGTTTAAATTCATTAATGGACTTGGGGAGAATATTAAGGTCAAAGACACAGAACCTATAAAGGAAAATTATAAACACAAAATAGGCTAAGCCCTGATCTTAGAGATAAAGATCTATTAAATTGGCTAGTTCAAACTTCAACCTCCTGTTTTAAAAAAAACCTTACAATTTAATGTTGAGGTGCTATAGCAAAACATGAGTATAATTACATATTTTGAGTAGACAAGAATTGTGAGGTCCAGATAACATCCACAATTTACCAGCCATGAACACATTTATAGAGTGGGTTTTCCCTCAAATTATCAGCTTAAATACATGGCAATCAATGAGAATATGTATCACACAGATGTACGTATTGTACATTAAAATATGGCACAGACAGCTCTTAGAAACTGCAGCCACCTGCCTCCCCTCAACACCAAGACATCCTGAATCTGGTGATCACAGTGGGAAAGAAAGATGTCATTGAAAGAGATTGTGTTATTATCAGAAAAGTGGTTAAAAATATTGCTCTATAAATGATTCGCTGTGATCAAAGGGTTTTGGTTAACCCTTTCTGGAGCCTCTCCAAATACAATTGTCGGGAATTTCTGCAGCAGGAGGAAGAAAAAAAAAAACATCCACGACAAAATAGAACCAGAACCAAAACCAAAACCAAAATACAGAAGAGAAAATAGATTTCTGATTCCTGCTTCAAGAAATAGTTGCTCAAGCTACTTCTGTCTGGGCAAGGCTTAAAAAAAGTCCCAAAGGGTCAGGAAGTCCCAGAATTCAAATCTGGATGGATTTAAAACTTCACCTCCCACATCCACTCCAACCCCAATCACCATTAAGTTCGAAGAGAAGCCCTACAAAAAATAACAAGCTAAAAAAAATCTCAGTACAAAGGGGGAAGTAGATTACAAGTAAACCAGTAAATAATTTAAAATTAATTTTAATTTAAATTAAAATCCTAATCTTAATCTAAAATTAACAAACAGTAGATTATTTTAATAATTCTCCCTATTTTGGATTAATTATTTTTTAAAACTATTTTTATTTATTATATCATCTGCCTGTTAAATAGGACCATTTCTTTCTTACTGCCCAAAGCATTTAAGTATATCTTGGCCTTTTTTTGTCTGCTTTCATTCAGATGTTTTCTGAATCTAAGTGGCTTTAAAGTAATCTTTTTTTCTTTCTTTTCTCAAGCCTCAAGTAGACTGCTTTTCTGAAATTTCAGTCCATGAATTGGATTCCTGTATAGGTTCACAGATGTTTTCCCTGCACCTCATGCTGTACATAATCAGCATTATTGAAAAACAAACACCAAGGCAGAACAGATAGCCTAAAGTCATTTCCTAGAGAAGACAAGCCCTGTTGCTTCAGTCCCATCAAAGATACAGTGGCTAGTGTGCTCACAAATTGCTGACAATAAACAGGGAGCTGTTTACCAGCCCAACCGATGCTGCAGATACCATTGGGAAAATACAAACCACAGAGTTGCACCCAGTACCTGAGGCTGGCAAACAGGAATTCCTTCACAAATCATACCCTATTTTCTTGTCTCCAGGAAATTTTGTACAACATGTTAGGAATTTTTCATCTGGAGAAGTGTCATATGTTTAAGAAACCAGAGACAGCTCTTTTCCAGCCACTGTATCACTAAATACCTGATGTACTGGTAGCTGCTAAAAGACAAAAAGCTGCCTGTGGCGTAAACTCAACCTGTAATGGTTTCTAACCAGGGATACAAGAACCCAGGTCCTGGGGCAGTTATGATCTGCAGTAACTGACAGACACCCTCCACTACAACAGGTTGCTCAAAGCCTCATCCAACCTGGTCTTGAATACTTCCAGGGATGGAGCATCCACAACTTCTCTGGGCAACCTGTTCCACTGCCTCACCACCCACTGAGTGAAAAATTTCTTCCTTATATCTAATCAAAATCTATGTTCTTTCAGTTTAAAGTCATGGTCCCTTGTCTTATCACTCCAAGCCCTTGCAAAAAGTCCCTCTCCAGCTTTCCTGTAGGCCCCCTTTAGGTACTGGAAGGCTGCTAGAAGGTCTCCCTGGAGCGTTCTCTTCTCTAGGCTGAATAACCCCAACCCTCTCAGCCTGTCTTCATAGCAGAGGTGCTCCAGCCCTCAGATCATCGTCGTGGCCCTCCTTTGGACTCACTCCAGCAGCTCCATGTCCTTCTTGTGTTGAGGACCCCAGAGCTGAACACAGTATTCCAGGTGGGGTCTCACGAGAGCAGAGTAGAGGGGCAGATTCACCTCCCTCAAACTGCTGGCCACGCTTCTTTGGATGCAGCCCAGGATACGGTTGACTTTCTGGGCTGCAAGTGCACATTGCCGGCTCATGTTGAGCTATTTAGATTTTATGCGCTCTCTCTATATATACAGAAGAAGTTTCTTAAGAACAGGATTCGCGAAACCCAGCAAGCCAAAGAATAAATCAGCTAAATTAGCCAATATCAATATTGAGAAAAAGGCGTTAGCTATTATGTTTTGAATCTTCCTTGAAGCTTCTAGGATTCAACACTTACAACTCAGAGCCTGTATTTACCTTCTCCCCATCCAAATCCTCCCCGAATCTGCTAAGTCCTTTCTCTAATCACCTTCTCTCTGCTCCTGGGTGACCCAACTTGTCTTCTGATATCATCTTCCTACTATGCTGTAGGGTATTCTGAGCTAAAAATGCTCTGTACTTTCTTGTTGAAGCTGTTCTGCATGGTCAAATTAAGTAGGCACGGGAGAGACAAAACAGTAAGACGTCATGAATTAGTAACCTACTAATTAAGGTGTTCACTTGTGAAAGGGAAGATTTAAAATCCAGCCTATGTTTCAGGCAATATTTGACACAAGATACTTAGGAGAAAATAAATTTAAAAAAAAAATATTAAAAAATCAAATCTCTCACCTCCAAGATGACAGACATAATTGCAGGATAGACTTATCCTCATTTTCTCTTTCTGGCAAAATGAATATTTAACTATCCCTTAGTGTGCAGAACAGCCCCGTTATAGGAGACTCTTCTTGCATTATTATCTGCTGCTTGGTCCTTCATGAAGGAAGACACAGGTTCAAGTGAAGGAAAGGATGAAATCTAGGCATCACACCTGGTTGGATGAATCTGAAAAAGTATGTAGGGGAGCCTCACAACATACTTCTTCCAGACTCCCTAACGCAGCATTTTATGATTTAGTGTATGCTTAGGATGCTTTAATACTGGAAACATAAAAGTCCATGAAACTTACGAGAGCAGACCTTTCGGGACATGTATCCTACACTATGGCACTTAAATTGGCAGTTGTGTCCTACAGCTTCCTTAGCGTGGGATTTGTTTCTGCTAAGGCCAGCATAAAAATCAGAAAACGTTGAAAAGGCTTGTTTGCATTCACGATGTTATCAACTCTCTAAATTCAATGAAGATTTGCATGGAATCTAGCGTGTCCCTACCACGCTTGACATTTCAACTGGATTTATGCTCCAGTATCTCCACACCCAAAGAATCACACGAGCGTATGTGTACACGTAGATAACCAGTACACAAAAAGACATAGACATGCATAAAAACACATGCACAGACTCACTGTTAACTACTTTTTGGTAGTGTTTTGGTTAAATGCAATTCACAATTAAATGCTGCTTTGAGATCAACCTTCCAGGGATTCAGCTGTTTTGCCCAAACCTCCTTCATAGCTGAAGAAGAGAGAAACCGTGGGCAGTCTTTTTTATTCAATTAATTTGATTTTTGTCTTTTGTCCTGCCAGCTATCAAAATTGTCAAATAAACCAGCTTTGATTCATAAATAATGGTTCCATTATATTTACTGTGCCACCGGTCAGAGTACCTGAAATTTTAATTCACTTGTTCAGCTAAATTTCATCCTCAGTTCACAGCCATAAAATTCTGTATTGACAAACTTTCAAACCAACTTTGACTCTGAGGTATCTAGTCAACATTTTTCTTCTGTGTGGATATTAGTTTATTGAATAAGTGGCATCTGTTTTCCTCCACATCACTAGTGGAGTAGGTATTTCCTTTTGACAGCTTTGCACGATTTATGGGTTTGCATGCTCTGAAGAAAAATAGTACTAAGCAAAAAATTCCAATTCATTACCTCTTAGTACTTAATTAAGTTCATACACATTGCACACTATAGGTGAACCCTGAAATGACTGTGACAGCCACTGAGCAGCAAGTTAGATTATCTTTGGAAGACAGAGAGACTTTTAATTATCTTGACCTCATTTTTCCATCTATGATATTCATAAACTTTCCTTCTATTTTGTTGCCTCCATCTGATGTACTAAACCATCCCGAAAACAAGATTATATCCTTAGCTATTTCCTTTTATCTGCACATTTAGGCACCAAATGTTTTTACAAATAGTGAAGTCAAGCAACAGTTTTTATCGGCTTGCTTCACACAGCTGCAGATGAATTATGTTGTACAGGCTCCTCCTAATAATGGTTTGGTTTTGGAAATGATAACAGCTTGATAAAAGAAGAAAGCAGTGGATCTGGCTATCAGTAGATACAGAAATAAAGAGAGCCTGGGCTTTACCTGTCAGGGTTCTGCGTACACACATGCATCTGTAAGAGGATCCGCTGGGTGAAAGTCTTAAAGCATTGCCCACATTTCCAAAGATGCCAGTCACTGAACTCAGAATTTAGTTGGCTTGTTGAAGTTGGGCTTGCAAGAACTCGTTGGTTTTTGACACTGATCTGGTTAAATCCTGACTCGATGGACCCAGACTTATCCAGGAGAGAAAAATTTCTGCTACACGGAGTCTGTGGAAATACTATGGATCGCTGTGAAGTGGCAGGGGATAGTTTGCTACTTTTATTAAATGGCTGTAGGGTGTCTTGTCTGGACATGGCCTCCATTACAGTCGAAGGGACATTCACTGGGAGAAAACAAGAAAAGTAAATAAGATCGTTTTTATGCCTTTTTAAAACTAATACAGTGTTGGGAGACACCAAATAATAAGAACATCCATTTTCTTGACACTAGAATTAAACAACTTTATTTCAACAATGCACAAAAAAAAAGGGCTTGAATAAGACAGTGATCTGAATGGATGATGCTGATTCTGTGATACTGAAATGAAAACTCATGCAAAGGGGTGTCTGAAAGGACTCAGAGAACCCTGACTGTGATATATATTTATTGCACAATGGGATTGTCATCTGAAAGAAAACGCTGCTGCACTTGTGATACCCTGACTCTGCATGTTGCGGTCAGCATGTCCAATTGCTATAACACAGACAAGCATGAATTTTGAAAGCATGGGGAAAAAAATCCTTGCTCGGTCACTCCTTGAGATACAACAGGGCTTAAATACCTATGGCAGCAATAATTCCCTTATTCTCTTAAAGGGCAGCCCCTAGGACATTATACTATTAAATCTCACAAATAGTCACACAGCTGATACAGTATAAAGTCAGTGACTTCAGCTTAACTTGTGTGATTAAGGCTAATAGCAGTTAGATTACCACGAGGCAATGCAAAGCGTAGATAGAGATATCTTTGTGCATCAGTTTACCACCTACAAAATAGGAACAAAATTGTTTCTAGTCCCATGCAGGTCTTATGATCATCAATTAACTATGAGGCACTCAGATATTTCAGCAACAAATGCAATATGCTATTCTCACAAAGAAGTGATTTACTGCCAAATTTGGATGTTGCATGATAAGGAAGGCAGAGGTCAAACATATAAAAGAAAGTTGCCTCACTCTTTGAGTCCCATCTAGATCATGCAGTGAATGAAGCAAGGGTCCTATGGAAAAATGTCATCAGCTAATGAAAGATTGTACCACAAAGCAAAAAGAAGCATAATTTAGGCCACCTGGGCCTAATGCCTTCTCATGCTTTCCAATTTTGGCACACTCAACCTCATGTCATAATATTTTAATGGAGATTTTTAGATTAAACGTTGTATGCATACGTCTATGCTCTAAATATGTCCACACATTTATTTGCTGTCTCAAAGTGTTTATATGTATATATCCACTCATAGGTACATAACACCTACTAAACAGGTAATTAGAAACTGCAACTCTGTTTAGGTAAGTCATACTGACAGATTTCTAAGAGCAAATACGAGAAATTAAATTTCAGTTGTGAGCTGAAATCATCCAATATTATTTAACATACAATAAAAGTGTAATATGAACTAATGTTTTGGTAATACCTTAAACAACACCAGTTACTTCACAGACTTATGTTCTAATATCTTCCATCAATCATAATTACTCTAATATTGTAATATTACATGCTATTTAACTTACTTAAGTTGAGGTCTTTCCTAAGCTATTCTTTTCTGGAGCATCTGAGGACCTGATTTCTAAGTATAGTTACATCCATGGGGTTATCACAAGCTTCAAGACATATAATGCATCTTCAATGTCTCTTCAGTAGAAGGGGCAATGTGTATACTTTCATTTTACCTCAACATTCTCACACAAGAAGCAGATCACTTTTTTTTTTAAAGAAAAATATATTCATAAAAGTCCACAGAAGCAATAAGATCAGGATATTAAAGATTTAAGGAATATAGGCAGAGTTTGTACTGGGTGAATACATCCCTATGCAGAGGATAAGCAGGTCTACTCTGAGGGCTAAAGCTGCACTTAAGTGAGACACCAGCCTGCAGCTGGTTCCATGCTCAGAGATGAATTTCATTTACTCACGTCAGTCTCTCTGTGGATGAAACTCTGGTTTCTCTCACAGCAAAATAGCAAATGACAATATTTAGAGATTTTAGCCATAATACTTTGCTTTTCAAATAAAGGTTTTGTAAGCTTCAGCTCATGAAAGTAAAAATAATATTTCTATATTGTACACTGCAGAGCACGAGTTTTATCAGCAAACATTACTGCCAGTAATTAAATTTCTTTTAAACTTTTCTCAAGCCCAACAGATTTGAAAACTCAAGATGAAAAAGGTTGTTTATTTTTGGCAGTTTAATGTCTGCTATCTTGCTGTTTTATTGCTGCATGGCTCAGTGTTTAAGTTGCTATGAGACACAAGTTCATCCTAGCATAGTTGTTTAAGTATCCAAGTATTTGACAAAAAAAATACATCTTCTATGTAATTGATTAAGTGTGGGCAGCCACAGGGTTACTTTAGACTAATGTCAATCAGGCTTCCATTATTGGTTTCTTCCACCACAGAGATACACATAGCTGTCAAAATGGAAGAGAGGTCTCTGATGCAAGCTCTAATCAAGTTCCACACACAAATAGTGAAACCGATAAGTATGCTTGGGTCATCTGTTCCCGTTACAGACAAAGGTATCCAGCACTAGATTGCACTGGGTCTACGTTATAAGTTACGTGCCTAATTTTGTGATGATTCCTAGCAAATTAAAAATAAAATACTGAGAACAAGTAGAAGAATGGATGGAAAGGGGGATGGCCAGGATGGAATGGAGGTTCATAGTCATTTCAGGCAACTTACACTCTGTTTGTATTTAGAGAAGCTGGCTTTTAGCTTTTAACCACGAGGATCTCATGTGTACAATCAGTTAGACAAAGCTTTTCTCAACATACTTAGTGATACTAGAATGAAGAATCACTAACAGAGGACTCGTGGACTTGCAATGCATTACTGTTTTGGCAAGACAGTGTCTTGTGATAGCTCTGATAACAATGGAGAAGGCCAAGCAAATGGTTAAAAAGAGACTAGGAATGAATCGCTTGTAAGGAAGAGTGATTCCACACACTACCAGCTACGTGGGGCTGCAAAGGTGAGAAATCTGCTTTTTAATTGCACATACCTGCACACTTCCAAACACTTCCATTTATTTAGGTAAGCATAACTTAATATAGTACAGCTTAAGTGTATCAGTTTCAGGGGTTTATTTTGTACACATGAAGCTTACCTTAAATATATAACCACTTTCATTTAATATGTCTTCAAATACTCTAGGAATATAGCCAGGAATTCTGGCTTACACAGGTAGAAATGCAAGGAAGAACTTACAATTTTCATCTTGTGCAATGCACTGGAGAGGGATTCCAAAGAAAGATGTGTAGCTGTCATTGTACCACACCAAGAGCTCGGTGCCTCTGGGGATATCTATACAAGCCCGGTAGAATATATTTGACCTAATGAAGAGAAAAAGAAGAAATAATGCCTAATTTAGAAATAGAGCATTCTCTTCTTATCATATACAGTATTACAGTAGAAATCCATTGATTTAGAAGCATTTCTGCAGATATCTAAATGAGTAACTTACCAATTGTTTTAAAACCAAATCTATCATCAGGGAAGGACTTTGTTCCTGTAGCACAGAATGACAAAGAGCTTACAGGCACTTTGTACCTAGCAAATTTTAAAAACCGAGATTTTAAAAGGACCAAGATTTTATGAAAAGACAAATATTTTTTGCAATGTCCCTTTTAAAGTGATTTGAGAAATGCTACATTTTGCTTACACAATACAAGTATCAGAGTGGTGCACACAGTTTGGTAAATTCAGCCATTTAAACACTTTTGCATTGGTTATCTAAGCTAAGTTAATGTATTTTAGGGGTAAACAAACAACAGTTCTTTCATTCCAATAAGTTATTTTAGCAAGAGGTTTTAAGTAGTATGACGTGGCCTTTCATTACAGCAATATACCACCAAATTGAGTAAAGTAGACTTTTGGCTTAGGGAAATAAAAGAAGTTGGGTTAATCTGACCATACAACTATAAAATCTTCCCTTGTATGGAACATTGAGGGTAATCTCAATGATCTTTCAATAAGTATGAATTAATGTTATTATAAATGTGATATCTTATCACATAGCTCTGTGGGTATGCCTAGACCACTGAACTGGGAGTTGCGGGGAAAAAAAAAAGGAAAAATCCTAGAGTCTCCAAGCATATAAACAAGAGCCTTATCCTGATCTTGCACTGATGCAAATAGCTTCAGAGTGATACTTCTACAGTTAACGGATTTACATGGGGGCAAAAACTGTGTAAAATTAGAATCAGGCACAAGATAAAATAAAAGTGTTATCAGTTTGTAGTGGCTTTTCCCTTAGGCTTCACACGGAACAGTAAAACACACTCCTGTGAGATGGATAGAAATTCAATATATACAAGAAGAGCATTCCACTCTCGCTGAAGGATTACATACCAAAATGATACAGTCAAAGTACCAAGAAATGACCATTTTTTATAACGGCTTATGTAAGGCAGAAAAACATCTATAGACCAAAAAAAAAGCTGGGCCTCAACTGGTTTTCTGAGTGAAGAATTGCTACAAACGTTAGCCTGAAGTTCAAGATAAAAGTGTTTAGGGTTGGTAGGCCTTAAATTTAGACTTTCTATAAAGAATTGGCTGTAGCGATGCAATTTGTTCCTTGTATAACAGTGCAGACATAAGGAGAATCTTTTACCACATTTTTCATGGCAGTGAGATATGCACTTGTCAACATATTTTGTCACCGCAAAGTGGCTCTTGGCAACAGGATCATAAAGATCAATAAAAAAGTGCAGATTCTCAATATTTTACTAGCAGCTGCAAAAATTTCATTTATCTTGTTATTTTCCCCGCTTACTGCCACCCTGTCTCAGGAGGGCACTGCTGGCTAAGCAGAACGGTTTTTCTGCCCTTCTATGAATATCTGACAAAAACTCTCCCCTTTGTGTCTCCTTCCCTCCTTTCCTCTTCTCCCTCTCTTTCTTCCCAGAGCTGTGCATTTTGTTAATTCTTTCCACTGTTACATAAAAACGAGAATCGGAGCCACGCTATAAATTATCAGCATCTTCTAACTTGAGAAAAATTGAGTCTACTTTGTACTTCACCCTTGTAACATTTCATCTCTCACTTTGGCTTCCCTTAACATAAACACAGCAGCCCGGCAAATGAATGTGCTAAAACCAAATGACACACTTTGCCGCTGAAAGAGCAGAACTGTTTTTGAGCAATGGGTGGTCTGTGAGGCTTGGAGTAGGCAGGGAAAAAAAAGTGTAAGCGTACACCGTTCCTTACAAGCGTGTAGAGCTTCCAAAACTCGCAGAAGTCTCTGCATGCTGAAGTACATCAAAGGGATTTTTCCCTTTTCGGATAATATTTCCTTTGCTGACATGTATTTAGTATTGTGGTTGGATGACTCATAAAGATAGCTTCATGGCGTCCCAACGCAGTTGAAGCAGAACACATGCCAACAAACATTATTGTCAGCCTCAAAATAAAAACAAAACGTTCAGCTAAGGGTCAATCAATCAAGAGCACTTTGAAGAAAATTCCATTTAGATATTACAAATCATAACAGAATGAATTTAAACCAGCTGACTTTCTGTGAGGAGGACGTCCATGTACAATAAAAATTAGGCCGGTTTTTCAGTGTCCAACTTTTCTATTTTCTTACACTTGGATGCAGTCACTGATGATGGATGCCAGTTTTTTAAATTGTGTTTTTGTAGTTCATTTTATAAAGATCTGAAGTAATCGAAAACAGATCAACAGAGGGAACTCTAAGTAAAAACTCCATCATAAAAGGAGAGTTGTAAAATCCACTTAATATTGACAGATGTGTAATGACTTTCTCATGCTCACTTTTCATTTAGGTTTGTCATCTATATATACATACATGTACGCATATGCATATATTTTTTATTTTTTTAATATATTTATATGCACACGCACACACCACCACACTGAGAAATAGTTCACAAGATACCTACAAAAATACTCTTTCATCACAGCAATCTTTATTCATTATGCAGTATGTTTATTTAAAATCCGATGGGATTTTAGCTATAGATATCAGACATTTAAGGGTATAATAAAAGATTTGTAATGTATAAATAGGATTGTTATTTTTTTAACTGAGGCATTATTTAGTCAACTGGCCAGAGAATAAAAAAGCTGAAAATGCAATTGAACAATTTTACCATTGTTAAATTGGAACCCTATGGGATAATCAAACTTTATATATATTTAACTTCAGCTTGCTTTCGTATGTTTTATTTTTAATTTTAAAGGTACTTTAAATAAGTTTAGGATTCTTCCTAAAGAAAAGAAACTCTACTCTCTAAAGCAACTAGAGAAAATTGGGATTGCTCACTGTGACTGTCAAGCCCAGGGCACTCTTTGATGTGCTTCCTACCACGTTTAATAAGGCCAAGCAGTTGCTTCTGATTCTGAGGCAAAAGGTTTGTTTATAGCTGAGATCATGTATTTATGTAATGCGTTGTCTGGGTTTTTTGGATCTGTTTGCAAGTACAAACTGAAAGGCACCATAATTTCTTTACGTTTTTCTTCACGTTTTGACCTTTTCTAGGTCTCTAGGACATAAAAGGCACAAGCACTAGCAATCTTGGCTAGCAGGTGCACTTCAATGTATAAGCTTTAGATGTGTACGTGTCTCACGACTGACTCCTGGAAAGCCTTTGGATTCAAAACTCCTGCCATTTTTCCCCTTTCTCTAGCATCTTTACTAAGGGCGGAAGATTTCTTGGATTGGCTTGCTTCTGATCAGACCGTCAGAAAACGTGCAGAGGGCTCTGTGCAGCGTGATGGTCACACAAGCGACACAGGGCTGTACTTGTTGCCAGGAGCTCCAGGTCTAGCATGCTTACTACGATGGCCTCAGCTCAGGGCAACCAAAGTCAGACCCACCCTCACTACACTGCAGCTTTTATAGAATCATAGAATCATAGAATCATTTGGTTGGAAGAGACCCTCAAGATCATCGAGTCCAACCATTCACCCTGCACTGTCAGGGTCCCTAAACCATGTTCCTCAACACCAAATCCACACGGTTTTTAAACACCTCCAGGGATGGGGACTCTACCACCTCCCTGGGCAGCCTGTTCCAACACTTCACAGCCCTCTCTGTAAAGAAATTCTTCCTGATATCTAACCTAAATTTCCCCTGGCGTAACTTGAGGCCATTCCCTCTCGTCCTGTCATCCATAACGTGGGAGAAGAGACCGACCCCCATCTGCCTACAGCTTCCTTTCAGGTAATTGTAGAGAGCGAGCAATTGTATTGCCTCGAACGAGCGCAGTCACAAAAGCCCGGCTACCGTCTTTGCCATCAAAGACAATAGTACTGGTGACAGTTACGGTCTGACTTTTCACTAAAAATCTTTTCATTTTGTTGCACTGAGAAAATCAAAATGTACTTTACCTGTACTGAACCACTGTTAAGTTCTGTTCCCCGCAGTGTCTCGCACATCGGATATACCTCATCCAGCTTGACTTACTGGGTTCTCCACCATCAATAAAGTGCTGCAGTGTCCCATCTTGGTCATATATCTGGGGGAGATGTCACAAGGTCAAGCAGTTAGAACAAATCATCAGCAATCATTTTCACTGCCTTGCTGGTGTCTCTCTGTGCCTTTTTCAGGAACTCACGTCCCTGAGATTTGTCATCACGTACCGATGCTCTTAAAAGTCTACATGGAACAGCAGAGAACTATTTTGGGGGATGTAAGTTTATCATGTTTCTTTTATCAAGCCAATCTTTTTGTATTAAACATATTTGTGGTGTCTCAAAGATGTGACCATGTTTCCCAAAGAATATTTAACCTATTTTGACAGGCTGGCCTTAAATAATGAACTGCCAGATAAACAAGAAAATCTGGATGTAAAGCCCGCATTGAAATGGCTGGAACATCTGAGCAAGGGGCAGTAGTAATGCCTAAACAAGTATCCCTTCCTTCACATCTCAGTTGCAGCAAGAGCGTAGACTTCAGCAACCTCACAAGATACATTAGGGAGTTGTAGGATTCATAATACCAAAACAAATGAGACTAGAAGAAAAAAGAGAGTTGAAGATGCCTTTAGAAGCTCCCTCGAGACATATCATTTTTTTGAAGGAGTAAATGAGAAATCAGTCCTGAGGGAATCATGGTTTTCCTGAACATGACGTCCCTGATAAGGACATGAGAGCCAGTTACAGTAATTTTTTTTTAAAAAGGACAGCATTATGTCTCTATTTGGCACTGGATGCTCCTTCTGAAGTTGAAGAATAAAACTGCTCTGGAGGCTTCAAAATGAAAAGATCAGTGTTTCATGCACACCTGCCCTTCTGACTGCTTAAAAAATGCTGCCTAGGGATTTCAAATCCTACTAAAAGTGCATGGTCTCACAAGATTTTTACCTGTTACGCGATTGCTTTGTTAAACTTCAGAAATGCACCGGAATGATTAGGTGATTATCTGAAGTAACCCTGATTTTCACATCTTTTGCCCCTCCACAGTCTCCATCTGCCCCAAAAATGTTATCCCTTTTGAAACTGTATGAGCTTAAATTGATGTCTTCTTCTAAATCTGCTAATTAAAGAGGAAGCACATTTATTACATTGAATTGAACATTTCTAGAGCAAGGAAATTAACAATCTTGCATTTCTATTTCAATATCAAGAGAATAATAGCAGAAATTATGTGACTATGTTCAATATTTCTAATTTACTAAAAGAATGTTACCTACAGTGCACACAAAAACAAACACAGAAATCAGAATCTAGTTCTTTACTCCACCACATGAAAGTCTCAAATTCAGGAGTGAGCCTTACTTTTGCTTCTGACCAGGAGGGACAGGGAGTAATCAGGAGCAATATATCCATTGCTAGAACATAAGAGACAGGGAAATCAAGTGTCTACAGAGATCCTTATCATATGTTCCAGAGTGCCTGTGACAAGGACCAGGTGAAACCTGGCCAGATGCTCCTGGGTTGGACAAACAAGATACTACCCCGATATGCACTGAGTGGTAGAATAAGGTCAGAGAAATCAGAAGAAGTCCTCAGAGGCAAACAAACACTCCGGTACCAGGGATTTAGTTTATTTTTTATATACGGTAGCTTGTTGATTACCAGCAAGGACCTGTTCTAATGTAAACTTGTTAATGTATGTTTAACATATGAGCAAAATACACTAAACAGTAAAAATCTGTAATGGAAATGGAAAAACTTTGCAGGAAATCAGCCTAGAAAAAGGAAGAGAAGGAAAAATCAATGACTAGCAATGCTTGGCTGGGACTGTTTTGGCAATATTTATCCAAACAGTCTCAGCACAGTGTTTATTATCTATTCACTTACACGGTGCTTACTAACATAACAATATATGGCTTAACATGAGGCGAAAACAATTCACATAAATAAGGAGCTGATAGCGTCCTAATCCCCAGATGATATGAAACAGGAAAGACAAAGATGACTGCCATAATCGGTACTGACAGCCATATCGAGACACACAGGAACCTGCTTAGAACTTTGTGTATATGGACAGACATGAGCTGACGTAAGAAATTAAAACCTGCCATGAAAATGTAGGACTGGAGCTTTCTCAGGCCTTGGCCTGGAATAGGAAGGGCTGCTCTATGAGCAAGACTAAATGCTTTCAAATGCTTTATTCTCGCAAATACTGATGCATCAGTGACACTATGCTCTCCTTTCCTAGGGGATATTGCTGACATTGCGAAGCTACATAGTCAGAATCCATCCCACAGTATTCTTAGCCCTGTTCTTACATGAATGAAAACCCAGCTGTAAGGAAGCAGAAACCCTAACGTTAGAAAGGAAGTAGTAATGCTGCATTGTACCTGTTTATTTGTCAAATTGCATAAGCCAGGTTAAAATCTGAAAAAACTTAACTGATATGGTTATTATTATTCATATTATCATTGTGCACCAGTTCTTAACCTCTTTACACTTGCTTAAATCAGGCCACCATTACATAATTGCCTGAAGAAACCATCATGAGGGAGCAAACCATGACCTCTAATAGAGGAAATGCAAACAAGTTGTGAACCCAGACATTATAGCAAACTATATAGATCGCCTGCATCTGTATTACACATGCATATGTACTTAAACACTCATAGTATGTATTAAAATAAACTCCTGTAGAACCCTGTGATAAACTGATCTTACTGAAAACCTTTGACTACCTCACTAGATCACTACTTCCATCTACACTGGCATAGCTTTTAACGTACGGCAAGAACCTCCTGGCAAAGTAAAATGCCATTTCTCCAACTCATTATGGAGAATGCATGCATTTTATTCTGTATCTTGCAACAGTCATTGATCTAAGTGGTGGAAACAAATTAGTTATTTCATTTTTCTTTTTTGATTACACTTGGAAGTGTTACCTAAACTTCTTACTGGATCTTTTCCTTCTTCTGACCCGAAGTACTCAGTAACTGTTGTTTTTGCTGAGTTTTAAGGGGTTTTTTTCTTTTGCTTTAAATGTTTCAAAACTTCTAGATTTTTTTTTATGGTCTGTTCCAATTTTGAGGAGTGCACCAGACTACCGACAGAGACCAGAGTCTGATAAAAAAGGAGTGCACTCACCTTCTCATTTGACATGCCTTGTGTTCCTCCTTAACAGTTCTCATATAATTAATTAACTTCTTAACAGGTTCTTGACTATTTATGGGTAGTTTACTGGTATGTTATATATCGAAAGACTCAGAATGTGACGCATATACATATTCTATGCATTTCATCCTTTTGCTTCAGAATACAACAGAAACAGCTTCATTTTCCAAGAAAGTAAGTCCAAAAAATAACAAGCACAATTCAGTCCTCTCTTTTATTTTTTATATTCCTTTCCTTACAAACAGTAATCAAGACATAAATAATACAGAAAGGTATGAGGTACACGATGAAGTTTCTTACAGGGTGCCGCTGATCTTCCTTGTGACCTAGACATGCATTCCAATCAGGAAATACAGGGAAAAGAAGGTACGATGCCAATGTACTGATACTGGTCATCTTCGCCTTGTAATGGCACGCAAATACAAAATAATACGAAGCACTGGATTTATTACTTGTTGGATTGGTTATTGACAATTATTTGGAGGCTCTAGGTACTGAAACTTGTCATGACAATGATAATAGCAACACATAATGGCAATAATAATATCATTTATAAAGCACATAGTATCTTGTATAAGTGATGCTCTAAAATCTATGAACGACCATTACTAAGTAAAATAAACAGCAGTTGCTGGAACATCTATCACTCTGGCAACATACCATGTCTAGGTAGGACCATGTAAAATTTAAGTAGCGTATCAGATATGGCAGAGCACTAAAAAGCCTTCTGAGAACTTTCAATTACTTCGATACTGACATAGTCAGTATGGCTCACTTGGATAGATGGAGACAAATGTAATTCCAACGCTAAAGACTGTTGTTCCAGTTTCTGGTATAGAAGCCACAGCATTTTATGATAAAGAAGCCCGAATGTAATAGCACAGCTGCTCAGAAAGCCAAGCTATGAAGTAATTAAAAACAATTTCACAGAAGAGATAGAGAGAGCAAAAATGGTTAGTACATTGGAGTTCTTTCCTCTCTATCTGTTGCTTTCCTTTGTTCTCTTTCCATGGACTGCTAAAGGATTGTGTCTTTAGAAATTCTGCCTGCATTTAATTTTTCCATGTAGTCAAATAAAAAAGGTGTTAGCATACAATTTACTTGACCTCTCATTTTCCTTGCAGGCAGAGGAAGAAAAGAGTGGTCCTGAAAGTGGAATTTTTCTTTGTATGTATGTTTGTATTGTAAAAGTAGCTATTATAATCGTTTTTTACGTTGCAAGACAGTAAAAGATACGTGAAGAAAACCACAAAACATGCAAGAATTCATTCTTACCATTAGTAGATATTCTTGCTTTTTGCTGTTCACTCTTGTTCTCATTGACATCACATGCGTAAGGTCATAGGATTGTCAAATCAGCATTTGCCTTCTCCTCCCACAAGAAGTTCTAACCTTGACTTCAGTGGGAAGAGTCAAGATAGCAGGGAGTAATTTTGATGAGTACATACATTTCATAAATCATCAGCTGTGCATTTAAAGACCATGGATGTACTCTAAAGTACTGGAAATACAGAGAAAAAGGTCTGATGAAACAGACTGACATGTCAGATATGGTAGCATCCATAGAAGTTATACTCTCCGTAACAATGTACGAACCTACAAGCCATAGCAACACAGAAAGCCTCTTCCTTCATTGGCTTGGACATCAGAACAGAATGATCTCTACATTAGGCAAATCTCACTATTGTGAGACCTTGCTTTTGACATAACAACACTACAGTTTCCTCTACAGGTGACTGTATCCTGGACAGAAGTTGAAAACAATGCCCAAAAGAGGGATGTTTATAAGCCTGAGTACTTAGCTGACAGTGTAAAAGGTGTGCAATTATGGAAGGTCACATTCTGAGACTGGATCTATAAAGCCTAGTCTCGACATAGAGAGAGCAGCCCTGATTGTGTCCCTTCATCAGAGCCAGCAAGACCCATTGCC